TTTTTTAAAGCTAGGTTTGGTGGTACATGCTTTTCATCCCAAAGTATAAATAGGAGTTCCATGGTTCAGTCCAGCAAAGGCAAGAAGTGATACTTTGTCTCAAAAATAACCAGAGCAAGGGCTGGGGAGGTGGCTCAGTGGTAGAGCGCTTGCCTTGCATGCATGAGGCCCTGGGTTCAATTCCTTAGCACCACATAAGCAAAAGAAAAAGCTGGAAGTGGCGCTGTGGCTTAAGTGGTAGAACGCTAGCCTTGAGCTGAAGAGCTGAAGGACAGCGCCCAGGCCCAGAGTTCAGGCCCCACGACCGGACCCAAAAAACAAACAAAAAAACCCCAAAAAACAGAGCAAAAAGGATTTGAGGTATGCTTCAAGTGGTAGAGTACCTGCTTAAGTAATTATGAAATCTATCGGCCTAGTGATTAGTAACCATTTCATTGTAACAGTGTGATGGCCGCAGAACCCACAGTACATTTGCACAGCATGTGCACTGCACAGATGAAAAGGTAACAGGAAAGATTAATAATAAGGAACAAACTTATAACAGAAAATGTGTCAATAGAAAAGAATGGTAAACAACTCTTTGTACTGTGGTTCTAATTAAAATATCAAACTGGATGCAGGCTCAGACATGCACATGTAAATACTCTTACACCAAAGAATGTCTTCTTTGGGTATTGGAAAGTACTGTTTTTTTTTATTTATTTTTTTACCTTTTCTGTTTTTTTTATCCTTTAACAAATTAGCACATATTTCTTTTAAGACAAGAACTTACTTTCAGAGGAAGCAAATAAATAGATAAAATGAAAGATATAAACTAGTTGACTTCTTAAGCTGTACTTTCTGTGATTTAGATTACAGTTACTAAAAAGAATTCAGAAAGAGGAAACTGAATGCTGTAGACAGAATCAACACATTTTATTGATTTAGTAGATTGCAATTATGAAGTGGTTGGTTTGCCTGGAGGCCTTTAAATTATGCTCAAACTGTCAGAAATTGGAACATTAAGATCCTGGTAGACAGGGAGTCCATGTTAATTATCTGCTCTTAAAGTAGTAACTACTTCCTTTGGATATCATTGCCTCCAATGCAACTAATTCTCTCCACAGCCACTGATGGCTATCTGCAGCCTTAAAGGAGGTTTTACTGTAAGGGTTCGTAGGATGTAGTAGTTAGTAGGGGACTAGTGAAGCAAGTGCAAAGAGGGTAATGTTTTGTTAAAATGTGAGAAAGTGTATACCATAAAGCAGTTAGATGCAGGGTTCTGGAGTTGGGTAATCTGGGCTCCAGCTGTCTTCAGCCGGATCTTGTACTGACCATGGGATCTATCACTTCCATCTATGCTCTCTCAGCTAGCTGTTGCTGGAGGCCCCAGTCTTCCTCCCTGACAGCTCAGTGCCCCTTGGTGTGGTGGATCAACTTACATGATGTACAATTTGGATTCAATTCAGTTGTCCTGTGGATCCTTATATGGTTCCATGTTTATGCTTGAACACTTTTAAATTTGAATTTTTAAATTCAAAGTGTATTCTTTTTATCTTCATGGCAGCTAATTCTATAGTCATTACCCAGGCTCTGCTGATGAAACAATGTATGTTGTTTGATATTGAACCTTTTTTGGGGGTCTCCAGTCGTGGGCCTGAATTCATGGCCTGGGCACTGTCCCTCAGCTCTTCAGCTCAAGGCTAACACTCTACCACTTGAGCCACAGTGCCACTTCCGGCTTTTTTTTTTTTTTTTGCTTATGTGGTGCTGAGGAATCGAACCAGGGCCTCACGCATGCAAGGCAAGCAAGCACTCTACCATTAAGCCACCTTCCCAGCCCATTGATATTGAACTTTTAAACCGTTACTCTTACAGTCTTTCTCTACTTCTAGTTCTTCTGGGCTTTGTGTGTGTGTGTGTGTGTGTGTGTGTATGTTTCTTTTTTGGTCAGGGTTAGTGTTGTAGTACTTGAGCCACAGCTCCACTTCTAGCTTTTTGATGGATAATTGGAGACAACTTTTCCTGCCTGGGCGAGGTTTGAACTGTGATCCTCAGATCTCAGCTTCCTGAGAGGATTACAGATGTGAGCCATCAGCACATGTCTGCTGCTTGTTTTGGAAATAATAAAGTTCAAGATTTTACCTGTACTAAGACATGAGGAAGAAACACATTCTGATGATTGTTGAACCTGATTTTTGGCAGTTTAAAAAATATATAGAATTTTATTGTTATTATTAAGGTAGAGATAACCATTCCATCCGTAGGTAATGAGTGCAATTCTTTTTCAGACAATGTCATCCCTTTCTTTGCCTTGGTGAGCCTAATTTTGCTGTGCATATGAGGCCTAATCTCTGCTATTCTGTTTTTCCTGAGGAAGCTTTAATCTTTTATTTTTTGATATATTTCATAATGATAACATCACATTTATCTGGGGCTTTCTGTATTTGTTTAGTTTATTTCATTTTGGCTATGCTGGAATTGAACTTGGGGTTTTCAGCTTGTTAGGAAGTGCTCTATCACGTCAGTCATGCCTTCCCCCATTTCTTTTCCCATCATAGTTTAGATGAAGAACATGTGCCACCATACTCAGTCTTTTATGGTGAGAGGGAGTCTTGAGAACTTTTCTGCCCTATCTGGCCTAGACCTTTATCCTTCCAAATCTTAGCCTCCTAAGTAGCTAGGATTATAGGAATGTGCTACTGCTCCCTGCCTTTGTATGGGGCTTTATAATAAAGAAAGTATTTCCACACTGATTATTTCCTTAGAGTGTTTATGTGGATTTCACTAGATCAAATCTCAGAAAGTCATGTTTCTCTTTTATTTCCCAGTTTGGAGACACACCTGTCTCTGAATAGGTTTCTTTTCTGTATGGTCTTAGATAGCAAATGTAAACAAAAATGTTACTTTGTTGTGAAAAATTCAATGATCACATTTGTGGTTTTGTACAAATAAGCCAAACTGATTCATCCTCAGGCAACATGGTCAAGGGGAGGGTGTGAACAGGTTTTTTTTTCTGACTAATTCTATAAAAACCAGGCTAGTCTGTGAAGTGCACACCGTCTGAGGTGCACAGGCAAGGTGCTGCTTGGAGAGTAAAATAGTTCTAACCGCGACCGGGCCTTAAAGGTAGTTAATAGAGGCATTTGTAAAAGCAGCACAAAAATATCTATTTACTAACCAAAGAGAAGATTCTAATTAAACTAATACTTTAAAATTGAAGGTTATATCTGCAATGAAGACAATTAACATGATGATAAAGAAAAAATCCCAGGGGCATTGTGGAGACTGGCTGGTTCATTCTCTAATTTAATTCCTGCCCAAAGTAATGGCATTACCATTCTACCTTTCCATCATAGAGAAAACACTGTTTGACACTTTCTGTCTCTGGTGCTCCAACTTTCCAGTTCTTTGATGTGGTGTTTCCCAGTTTGTTCCTGAGCCAGCCAGTGTAGTGTCTCTAGAGTTATCAACTGCTCTGAGTTTTTTTTTTTTTTTTTTGCTATCAGCTGTAGTTCTTCAACTTCTCTACCAGGTTTGAAAGAAAATGGTATTTTTCAAAGTGCTCTCTCTGTTTTCATGGTAAAGTTTTTGTTGTCACAAGAGGAGAAACAATCTAGCCATTGCACTCCTGTCTGGAAGAGCCATTCCTGTTCTTGCTATCTTTATGGGTTCATCAGAGCCTCTATTCGCTTCCAGTCACCACCTTCCTGGCAGCCATTGGAAGGTGGTGATAGTTATGAGTAAGGTCTGGTGGGAGGGAAGAATGTCAGAGACATGTCTGGGTAGACCCTCTGACAAATACTTATTTTAGTTGTCTCTTACTTGTTTGGATAAATGTGTTGTCATCATTAAAATCTTAGGCAAGGCAATCCACTATTGGGCAGTGCCCCCCCCCCCTCCAGCATGGTGTAAGGCTTTGGTACCCTTAGCAAACTGTCATTGCTTTACTTCAAAAATACTTTGAATTTCAGCCTATATTTCATTACATTTTACTTTGGATGCAATCATTTCAGTTTCCAAGAAGAGAAATTAAATATGCAATTGTAAAAGGCTAAAGTAGAAATGAAAGCTATTTATGCAAATTAGGTACATAATAAAGTAATGGCATTGTAGATAATATCAATATTGTCTGGGCTGGATATACATACTGTGTCATTAACTGTATCCACTGAGGCTCTGTCACTTGATCATGGTCTTTTGCACATCAACAAGAATTACATGTACATGGAGGGAACAGCTGATCTTTCCAGTTCCCACTTCGGTGTTTCTTAAGTAATTTCATTGCCTAGCAGAGTTGGTCTTGGTGACAAATTGCTAAGCTTATTTCTTCACTGGGTTGTATTAGTTCAGGAGTTAATCACGTTTGCAAGCAATGTGCAAATAATCCTCCCAGCTCTCTGACATGAATTAGTTCACAGTACTCATTTAACAAATGAGAAACGGGAAGCAAAAAGCTCCCTGTAACTTGGAGCTCAGGGGATCATCCGCTGCTGCTGCGTGGTTGCCCCCAGCTGCCCCGGGCTTCCACCAGTCTCCTGCAGGACCACACAGTTGACATCCGATTGGGATCTGCGGATCATCAGGAAGCCGAGGAATGAAGCGACCTGGGCCTGGAGGTCAAGTTAGTTTATTTGTTTTTAATTTAGCTGAAATGATAGGCTAGTTGAAAGATCCCTTTGTCAGTAGCGACCTTTTGACTAGCAGCACCCCCCTACACCCCCCTCTCCTTCCTCCACCCTTTCTCCCCGCTTGCAGGATTAGAAAAGCACTTGGAAGGCTCATTAATCTTGCCGGCGCTGTCAGGAGTGATCAGCGAGTTTTATTAAATCTCCCAGGACCGACTGAAAAGCGTCCTTGTCTGGTTCTGAATGAAAGGGGCATGTTAAGATCTCGGGGCTCACCCTGGGGACCCCTGGCCCTGCCCCGTGGACAGCCGTCGGACCCTCCCCGCCGAAGCCCAGGGGCACGCCTTTGTTGAAGGACTCCAGCCGTCGCTACAGCCACTGGGCCCTGTCAGCATGAACGCTCCACGCTGGGCCCGGCCCGAGGCCCTGCTGCTGCTCTTGCTCCTGGACTGGACCAGCTCCACCTTCATCACTGTGAACCGAGGGATGAGGGTGATGAAGGGCAGTTCCGCCGTCCTGTCGGCAGAAGACCTGAAGTTTGCCATCCCCAGGGAGAAAGACGCCTGCAAAGTGGAGGTGGTGAGGAACGAGCCGATAACCCAGAGGGTTGGAAAGCTCACCCCACAGGTAGGTCCCGGGCGAGAGTCTCTGTCCCTAGTTGGATGGGTGAGACGGGGAGCAGGTAGAGGTCTTCTCTTAAGCGGTCACCAAGGTGAGTACTGTAAGAGGTTCCCATGGGTGAAGGTGAACCGCACCGCTGAAGTTCACCCGCGTGCTATCCTACTGCTTTCCTCTGGGAGGTGGAACTATGGTTTGCACCGTTCTGATTTCAGAGAACAGGTCTGCAGTGGGCAGGCTCTGTTCCACATGGGGCTGACATCTGTGGGGCTCCTGATGTCTTTAGGTTTAGACTAATGTGGATGCACACATTCTTCATAACAACTCCCATCTTTTTAGCTTTTATTGAAGAGAACTTTTATGTATCTTGACCTTGTAGGTTAGCTAAGGATGCATTATAAAGCAGAGTGTAAGAATGGTTCAGGTCTCTCATTTTAGGGAGCAAAAGAAGGGGGGAGGGAGGGGGAGAATGTGTGTGCAAGAAAGAAAGGGAGAGAAAGATAGAACGAGAGAACACAAGCAAGCAGGACAGGACCAACTTGTAAGGGTTTCAATGGACAACTACTTGTAGCATATGCTATCATTAATCTTTAAGGGATGAGTCCTGCCCTGAATTATCTTACTCATTGCCAGTCAGGGGTGGCTTTGCATAAGATATAAAAAATGCAAGACATTTTTGAGATGTACTTGTGACTTCAGAAAAGCAAAGGTTAAACATGAAGGCTTTTTTGTTTATTAATAAAAGAGAGATAAAGAACTATAAATATTCAATTCTTCATAAATGTCTGCCTTAATATTTCTCCTTAATTAAAACCTCAGGGACCTCTTTATTTAAGGATATTCTATTGTCATTTTTTTTTTTTGTCAGTTGTGGGGCTTGAACTCAGGGCCTGGACACTGTCTCTCAGCTCTTTTGCTCAAGGCTGTCACTCTACCACTTTGAGCCACAGTGTGACTTCTGGTTTTCTGGTGGTTAATTGGAGATAAGAGTCTCATGAACTTTCCTGCCTGGCCTGGCTTTAAACCTTTATCCTCAGCTCTTAGCCTCCTGAGTAGCTAAGATTACAGGCATGAGCCATCAGTGCCCAGCTAAGAGTTACTGTTTAAATCTAATTTTCATACACTTTTTTTTTTTTTGCCAGTCATGGGGCCTGAACTCTGGGTCTGGGCGCTGTCCCTCAGCTATTCAGCTCAAGGCTAGTGCTCTACCACTGGAGCCACAGTGCCACTTTCGGCTTTTTCTGTTTATGTGGTGCTGAGGAATCGAACCCAGGGCCTCATGCTTGCAAGGCATGCACTCTACCGCTGAGCTACCTTCCCAGCCCCTTCATACACTTTTTTAAGGTGTTTCTTTTCATATATTTTAAGGGAATGGTTGACTTTGCATACAATAGTAAATTGCTTCTGATTGTGTTACTTGTTCTTGCCATAGCTTAACTTTACAAATGATCTTAAGAGTGCTCAACGTTGGATAGTATTGCTGCATCTAGAGAATGGACCATTCCCAATCCTAACTAGGAACCTCATTTCCTCTCCATTTGGGTATAGAAACATGTTCCATGAGGTTATTCCAAGTTACTGGACATGGAAGAGATGTAATAAAGAGTTTTAGATAAATGCTAGCTCAAATTGCTATCCTTAGATATTTCTCTTACAACACTTAAAATTATAGACAAACTCAGAAACACCAAAATACTATAGAAGGAAATTTCATCTTGAGGCTGTTCATGATATGATAGGAATCAAATGACTCATTCCAGTTTCCTACGAGACTCTGTTTAAGAATTTAAGACTTTTTGAAGAGTTAAAAAGCTACACATGGGCATTAAAAATGTTAGAATATACTAGTGGCTATAGGTGTTTCAACATTGTATTCCAAAGTGTTCAGTAGTAGTAACTTCTCCTGACTTTCTTTCAACATTTTATGCCCTGTGGAAGTATGTGTCAGTCAGGGAAAAAGAGAGACCTGGTATATTAGACTTTAGTGTCACTGTAACCAAGATATACCTAAGAGCACAATTTGAAAGGAGGAAGAATTTATCTTAGCTCTCAACTTCAAAGGTTTCAATACATATGGTGGGTACAGCAACTTGCTTCTTGGCAGCCAGGAAGCAAAGCCTAGAAATAACAGGAAATGGCCAGAGCAATCATCAGCTACCAGGAAAATTCTGTTCCCTGTGACCTACATCCTTCAACCAGGTCTACTTGCTATAGCTCTACAACTTCCTAATAGTCTATTCAAAAAAAATTTTTTTTTCTGGTTCTGGGACTCAGGGCATGAATATATGCATGAGTCACAGCCCTACATATATAGTAGAGGGCCATCTTGATTTAATTGTCTTTGAAAGACACAGACACACCCAGAGGTGTTCTATGTTAATATCCTACCCAGAGATGTTCTATTCTTTTTTTTATTTTTCATATATATTTTTATTGTAAAGATACTGTACAGAGGGGTTACAGTTACATGAGTAAGGTAATGAGTACATTTCCTATCAAGCATTGTTACCCCTCCTTTGGTTTCCCCTACCAATCCTTCCCTCCCTGCCTCCTCAACTATTGTAATGTCCTAAGCATTTCTCTAATCAAGTTGACAGTCAAGATTAACTATGGCATTGAGATAGGGCATCACAGAGCTCAAATAAAGCCCAGCATGAGGCCATGGGTTCTCAACTATAGGAATCAGAATTAAGAGCAAAATGAAAATAGTTACAGTTTTGAGGTGCAGCAACATAGGACTCTGATTCTAGAAGATTAAGTTCTTTGGGAAAGCAAAGACCTATGGACATACCAATACATACTGGTACTGACACCTTATAAAGACTGATGGACTGGACTGATAATTTGGTTCTCTTTCTCTCTCTCCATATGTATGTATACATACATATATATATATATAATTTATATATATATATATATATATGTTCAACACTTGTATAGGAGTTAGTCTGATTACTTGGAGTAGGAGAAGCAGGGAGAAAGGAGAATATTGTCCAGCTGTATTTCGCTCAGACTCAGGAGGAAGGGGCCTGCTGTTCACTGGTTCCTTTCTTCTCTTAGAAGGCAGTTTGAGAGGATCTATTGTAGGCCAACCTCCACCTTAGAGAGCCTCTGACTCCTTAATCCTCATGGCCCTCACTGAGATGAACAAAAGTGCCTCCATGATTTTTGTCTTTTGCTGTTTGTTTTTGTTTTTGCAGTGTTGGAAATCAAATCCAGGGCCTCACTCCTGTTAGGCAAGCACATTACCACTATGCCCAGTCCCTATGGAGTTGGATGGGTTTTTAGTGATGTTTTAATGATTCCAATTATTCTACCTGCTTTGAAAAATAAGAGAGCAAAAGAGATTCAAATGACCAGAGATTCAAATGGTCACAGGGATTAAGGGTTGGAATTGACCTCCAATTTATCTACATCTCTTTTTCTAAGGTAAAAGTCTAGTTATTATGAAGTTAATATGGAACAGAAACAGCACAATAATGGGCCTGATAGGAAATTCTTTAGCTGATAGGTTAGGAACATCCCAAACACACAGACACCTAGTATATTGTACTCTCTCTTTCTCTTTTTTTCTCTCTTTTTTGTGGGCCAGTCCTGGGTCTTGAACTTAGAGTCTGGTCTCTGTCTCAGATTTTCTTTTGCTCAGGGCTAGTGTTCTACTACTTGAACCACAGCTCCACTTCTGCCTTTTTTAAAAAATCTTTTTTCTTTCTGTAGTTTAGTGGAGATAAGAGTCTCACAGATTTCCTGCCACAGCTGGTGACCCTCAGATCTCAGCCTGCTGAGTGGCTAGGATTACTGTGTGAGCCACTGGCACCAATTTTATTGTGTTCATTATTATTATTATTATTTGTTGGTCATGGGGCTTGAACTCAGCCTGCTGTCCCTCAGCTCTTCAGCTCAAGGCTAGTGCTCTACCACTTGAGCCACAGCACCACTTCTGGTGGTTTATTGAAGATAAGAGTCTCATGGACTTTCCTGCCCGGACTGGCTTTAAACCACAATCCTCAGATCTCAGCCTCCTGAGTAGCTAGGATTGCAGGTGTGAGCCACCAGCACCCAGCTTTGTGCTCATTTTAAGTAGAATCATATCCTGCATTCTCAGTGTATTCCTAGAAACAAATAGGATGCCTCAATTGGATTTACATAATTTAAAGTGGATATGTAGTTTGTATCTTCTAAAATTTATTCTATGTGTGAAATCTACTAATATGTGGAGTTCATCAATAGTTAAATATAAAAACTTTGTGTAAAGTAGGAAATATTTCTTTTTTAAACTTTCAGGTGACAGTTCTTTTGTGTGTTTGTTTTGGTGTCTCTTAGCTTTTCTTCTCAAGGTTGGTGCTTTACTCACTCCAGCCACTTCACTGGAGTTCTACTTCAAGCTTTATTCACTTGAGCCATTCGTTTGAGCTCCACTTTAAGCTTTTTTTTTTTTTTATAGCTAATTAGAGGTAAGAGTCTCATGGACCTTCTTGCCTGGGTTGGCTTCCTTATTTTTCAACCTTCTCAGTAGCTAGGATTACAGGCATGAGCCATCAGTGCCCAGCTTATTATTATTATTATTTCTGGTAATTTCAATGAAAACAAGATTTCCAAGGAAGGCCTGAGAGTGGGAAAAATTTGTTCTTGGTTTTTAGTGTCTGGCTCAGCTCTCCCCAGGGATGAACCATGGCCAAATAATGTATATGAGGGCACAAACACACACACACACACACACACACACACACACACACACACACCACACAACACATACACTGTCTAAACACACATAAGGACACAAACACACACACACACTCACACACACACGCACACATACACTGTCTAAACATGATGCTTTAATGGAGCTTCAGAAAAAGCTGTAAAGCTAGGTTTATGTGAACCCACTCCCAGGGAGGGCACTGTATTAACAGCACCCTGCTGTGTAATGAGCAGTTTCATGTGATTTGCACAGAAAATGTTTTGTTTAACATCTGTTCAATTAGTGTTTTCATTTCATTACTGAAGTTTTCCGTAGAACCAACAGGTTCATTTTCCTATTGGATATTCAGAAAGGGACTGCAATGAATGCACTCCAGTACCTTCTGTTTACTTAACCCCTGGATATCATCAATTAGACAAGGTCGATAGGTTTTCCTTGTGTTTCAAGATGAGGCTTTGGTCACACCTGGTCCACAGCAAGTTTCCTGGGTGGAAAAATACCTTAGTTTAGTGCTGAGCTTGCTTTCTTTGGATAAGAAATACAGTGGTGAGAAAATATCCTTAGTTTCAACCAGTTTACTGTCATTAAAGTGAGTAATGAGTTAGGAGTGTGTGACAATTTAATTATAAATTGTAATTGAAAAGCAGTTGAAGTGGAAAAAACCAAAGCTAGACAGTAATTAGAAAAGGATTTAACTCTCCTTTGTTTTAGTTAGTAAATTTATGGACAATTATGGTTGTCGCCTTTTATAAAAGGAAAACATATTAGGAAACATAAAACAGATGTTTCTTTTAACAAAGCAGATTGTCTCTTTATTACCATGACTATTTGTCTGTGATACGAGAAAGGGCTTCTTTTTATCTTCTTCCTACTTTCCAACTAAAACTAGGAAGCAGTAATATCTATGGAGCAAGAAATTTATTCTTATTAGTGATCATTCCTTCTAAGTGTAGGTCTTGTTTGAAAATGACTGAAGCTGAGAAAGGTACAGAGAAAATACTGTGAGCTCCAGAGAGAGGGCATTTCTCAGAATACTAAATAAGATTGGCAGAGGGGGCAGCAGAGGGACATGATACAGGTGGAAGGGAAAACTTCTTTAAAAACTAGGATTCCTTAGCTTGTGCTGGTGGCTCATGCCTGTAATACTAGCTACTTAGGAGGCTGAGATCTGAGGATCACGGTTCAAAGGTAGCCAAGTCAGGAAAGTCTGTGAGACTCTTATCTCCAAAACCACTAGAAAACCAAAAGTGGTGTTGTGACTCAAGTGGTAGAGCGCTAGCCCTGAGCTGCAGAGCTGAGGAACAGTGCCCAGGCCCAGAGTTCAAGCCCCATGACTGATCAAAACAAACAAACTAGGATTCCTCAATAAATCAGACATTTCCTTCACAGTTTTGAGAGAGGTGATGCAGTTAATTATAACTTAATTTACATACAAGAAGTTGTCTTTAGATACTGTGTTTCATGGGCCATTTGTGCCATTCATAACTAGTAAAGCCATTAATGAGAAACAACTGTGGATTATGTTTGACTCTGGCCAACCACAGAATGTCCATAGCTGGTAGTTTCAACTTTGAATTGTGTCAGTGTTCTCTGCAAAAGAAAGAAGAGGTGGGTAAGCCAACACATGTGTTTCTTGAAATACATGGAATGATTTCTAACTGAACTGCTATAAACTCCTAGAGGAGTTAAATAAAAATTTGATAAATGGGAGCATCTTTAAAAGTACTATAGTCTATCAAAGGACAACTATTTGGAGAAATAAGTATCTCTTAGTTTCTTTGCTTGGCCAGTTTGGATTCATAGTTTAGATGCTAACAAGACAAGACACAGCTGTCTAAGCAGGATGGTGAGTGGGCACAGACATAGGGCAGAGGTGTATGTTTGTGATTGATCTCTCCATCCCCTCAGTCATACTACACTCAGAGACCACAGGTTTTCTGAGCCATAATCTAGCTGGGAAAATGGAACTTTGCACCAATTTTCTTACAGATTTTTTTTCATTTCTTCACATGAACTAGGTCTTTGACTGCCATTTCCTTCCCAATGAAGTAAGGTATGTTCACAATGGGTGTCCGATCCTTGATGAAGATACTGTGAAGCTTAGGCTTTACAGGTAAGTGGCATAGGAGCTTTGCTGATATTTCCAGATCATTGTGCTGTGTTCTTTTCTTTTGATGTGTGCGTGTGTATGTGTGAAGAGGATGACTTAATAGATTCCAAACAAGTAAATAATTGATAGAAATTGAAGGTCTGAGTGGTTGAGGTAAGAATGGTAGCCAATTTCTGACTGTCTTCATAATTTCTATAAATTATTAGTTTTATTCTCTTTCTCTCTGGTGTTCTTGTATAGGTATCTGGAATTCCAACTGTAAACTTGAGAATCAAGTGGAATATATGTTTCAAAATTGGATGGATTTTTTTTTTAAATTTCTAGCTGTTTAGATATAAGCAGTGCAATAAATTCCTTTTTAAACATTAAATAATATAAATGTCTTTAAAGTCAATATAAAGCTAAATGGAGTGGTCATATCATGCAGCAAGTCCTCTACTAGGTGTATCTATCAATACACATTTGCACCTAGGAATATTAAAATATTATTATATTAGCATTATAATATAGCATTATATTTTATCTTTTATTATAACATACAGTATTATAATATATAATATATATGAGAAATAAAAGCCTATGTATATAAAAGCTTGTGCATAACGACATTCTTCATAATAACCAGGAGTTGAACTAATCCACCTGGTGAATGGTATGTCCATACAATGGGATATTTAGGTGATACCTAGAAGATGCTTGAACTAGAATTCTCAGAGGACCAGCAACATGCCTATTCCGCTCTTAACCTTTTCCCCAGTCCTGTTAGCAAACTCCTGTTCTGTTCTATACCTCAGTTTCCTTACCCGGAAAATGGGATGAATGATTCTTGTTATAGAATTTTATGAGCAATGAAAAATATACTGCTGAAAAGACTTGCAGCATAATGAAAGTGCATTAACTCATAATCCATGACTGCATTATTAATATATACTCATCATGTCTTAATTTCTCACGATAAAGGAAATAACAGCCCTAGAACCCTCTGCAAACACCCTGAGAACAGTCACTAGGGGAAGAGAAGGAAGTAACAATTACTGACAAAATTTACATGGCAAGTTCTGAGCTGTGTACCCAATCTGTTCCTAAGCCAACACTTATCTCGTGATATTTCTGAAGAACAACATGACCTGTATACTTCATAAGCCCTTCCTCCTTAAATCCTGAATTGGTACTTGACCTAAAAATTATACAGGCTTCATGCTCTGACATTTCATATGCTTGGATATGTGACTGAATTCTCAGAAGTCCTTCACTAGAAATGTGGATAATGAGCTTGAGAGCAGGTATGCAGACAAAGATGGCTAGAGGAAACAGTGGTAGGAAGATAGACAGACTTCAAGGCAAAGAAAAGAAGGGGTAAGAATAGAGTATGAGATAAAATCCAAATTCCACCTGGTATGTAGATTTTCTGAAGGCCAACCTTTAAGTTTCAAGCCACGTGCATAGATATCAGAAGAACTTAAGCATCTGTAGAGACTTCTTTCTCTGTTCTCAATACAGATTTACTGAAACAGACACATTCATGGAAACCTTTGAGCTGCAGGTCCATCTCCTAGAACCAGACTGTAACATCATCCACATGAATGACAAAGTGCTGGAGGTGTCTGAATTTTATGGCCTGTCCAGAACCATCGATAAGAACCTGCTCAGCTTTGATTATGACAGGACAGCCAACCTGGAATGTACCATCAGGCTAGACCCCCTGACAACCCTGCTGCCAGCCCATGGCCAAATGGTTGTGGTGGAACCTCTTCCAGAAGGACCTCGTGGAGATCAGCCACACAGTTTTTTCCCCGAGTCCCGTATGATATCTTTTAATACTTGTCTAGTTGTTACTAAAAGGGGCCAAAAAAGGGTCATATTCCCCTTATGACAGATAATTCTACTTATCTAATATGATTTTTAGCTGGTTGACAAATGTAGGTTAGTGGTTAAGAGGATAAGCGTTACAATCAGAAGGATCTGGATTTGACAACTGCTTCTGACATTTAGTTTCTGTATATTATTTTATCTCTCAACTTGTCTAAGCTTCTGTCAGATATGGAAAGATAATATCTGCTCCATGGGGTTGTGTTGGGGTGGGGAAGTGAAGGAGATCACACATAACAAGTCCTTAACTCAGTATTGGACTCATAGGAAGTACCCATTCATCATCAGCTATTAGTAGAAATAGCAATGGCTGTAGTAGTAAGCATTGTTTTTACTTACATTAAATATTGTTGGGCTATGATCTAGTTTGAAGCAAAACTAGTCAGTAGCAGTCATGGTCTAATCAGTGAGAGCTGATCATGATGCTGTTATTCACTGAGTCAGAGTACGTATTGTGGATACTTCCTATATGCATAATAGTATTGTAGGAACCATGGGCAGATCAGGAAATACAAAGGGGTGACCATTGTTACTACAGTAATGATTTGGACAGAATATTAAGGGATGGTTTAGTAAAAAGACCAACTGGACCTAAAAAGATATGCATGCTTTGAATGTGTGATAGGCAAACTGGGACAATGATTTTGAGGAGCAGAAGAATCTAGAAGACCTTATAGAGTAGGACCATGAAATTGATACTTTAAAGGAAGATTGGAGCTAAATTCTGGAAGGCCTTCAATGAGCTAATTGGCTTATTTGCCATAGGTGTCCAGGCACCAGAAAGCATATTCTATTTTTTTTCTCTCAGCCTAACTCTTGGTAAAGAAGGCCTGATGAAACACATAATCAATTGTTCTTTTTCTTGCAAAGGAAATTATAAGCATTCAGAATAACAGCCATTCAATGACTGACTTGAGAAGTAAATATCACGTTCTTGGGGCAGTTAGAGAGTCTCCAAAAGAGGAAGATTGGTTTTTCACCTTTACAATTGTTGTGTTTAAGTGGCTGCCACTAATGCAGTGTTGTACGTTTCTAGAACTGGGAACAGAACTGAAGTGTCCAGGTGGAAGCTGTGCCCTGGGATTGAAGAAAATAGGAAGTCTCAAAGTGAGCTGTGAGGAGTTCCTGCTGATGGGGCTTCGTTATCAACATATGCAGCCCCCTTCCCCCAACATTGATTATATCCCCATCCAACTGGACCTCATGGACAGCAGGAGTAAAATCGTGTACAAGGTAGAATTTGAGGCTGTATTGTGTTGCCAGCTCATTAATAGGTGACAGAATTCCACAGGGCATTCAGGCTGGCTCTCATACCAGGGAGAGTACCTATGCTATTGAGGATGGCATGGCTAGGGTGTCAGAAGCTACAGGCTTGTTTGTTCTGTTCAGGTAGTCACTTTGTATATGATATTAGCTTATACTTTCCCTCTAGTTCTGTGTGAAGGACAGGTTGGTTACATTGTTGACCATCTTCCTTCTTTGCCTCCAGTACTGTTTTGTATCTATGTTGGGACTTAACCCAGTGACCTATGGAAGTGACCATTGAGCTATTCTCCAGACTCCTCCAACACATTTTAGCTTGTCAGTTTATTCTTTGTAACCCCTTCTCTCTGATGTCTCTTCTCCTTCTTGACATCAGAGGGTCCTCTCTGTAAAGTCACAGGAAACTAGGAAGGAGGAGTACCTCAGCCCCACTTTCATGGTTCTATCAAATGACATCATGTTCTCTTTTCAGACTTCAAGATGGAGGGCTGGGTCCCGCCAGAGGGCTCACAAAGGCTTTCTCAATCTTGTCATCTTTAAACATTTTCTCGTGACTTTTGTTCCCTTGGTCTTTTCATACTGAAATGATGAATGAAAGATAAATCAACTTATACAGTAGTTAACATGATGTTCTACTGATTTGTTTATTTGGAAAACTAAAGCAACACTGCATCAATTGAAGCGAGCTAGACTTTGTGATGATGTGAGGTGATACAAGACAACATTTGGAAAGACTTCTGCCTACATGGTAGCCTTCCAACTGGGATTTCTCCTAAAAGGCCTAGTCAAATACAGAACGTTATTACTCCCAAGAAACTGATAATTCCTGCAATGATAATGAGATTACACAACGGGCGCACAGGATTTTAGAATTAAGATCTACAAGTAAAACTGAGGTAACTCTAGTTTAATTGATCAGGTAAATTAGTTTAGGAGCCTTTCAAAGGAGAAATTTACATGGGCATGAAGCAGGCCCAAATTGCCTGAGTTCAAGTGTTTACTGGATTGGCTAGGTGACTTTGAACTTTATGTCCATGTTTTATAGTAAAATGAGGATAACTCACGAGTTACTCTCATGAAGTTATATTCAGAAACACTGCCTTCTTAGAGTAGTTGAAAAGATTGAATGAGATAAGGAGACAATATTTGTAAAATGCTTCATATGAAGCCTGTACATATTGAGTGTATGCATATTTTATTTGTTTTAATATCTACCACGTAATGAACTTATGATTGTCAGGTTTGGAATCATTCATATAGTTCATGTTTCTTGTTTTATTGTGGGGCTTCAGAGAAATAATGAGCCTTTCTTAGTATACATGGCTATTTTATGACTAGGCCAGGACCAAAATTCTAGGCATACCATCTAGTAATGGACAACATTTGCTTGTTTTGAAACAAAATGTTCCCTTTTGGATTTCTTTTTTTTTTGTTTGTTTGTTTGTTTTTTGTTTTTGGGTCTGGTCGTGGGGCTTGAACTCTGGGTCTGGGTGCTGTTCCTCAGCTCTTCAGCTCAAGGCTAGTGCTCTACCACTTGAGCCACAGCGCCACTTCTGGCTTTTTTCTTTTTGCTTATGTGGTGCTGGGGAATCGAACTCAGGGCCTCATGCATGCAAGGCAAGCACTGTACCACTGAGCCACCATCCCAGCCCTCCCTTTTGGATTTCTTATCTCCATTAAAGCAAGACACTTTTGGGCTGATTTGTCTTGTATTTTTCCTTCAATATATTAATTTAGGTTTTATTTATGCTTATAGGTCTGTTTCATTAGGAAGTGACCCTTTAAATGACCATCATTTGTGTTTTATTTATCCAGTGTTATATGTCATAAAGCAAATTCATTTGTGAATATGAGAGAGAGTTTATTTTGTATGTGTTCCATTCCTGGGCTTGAACTCAGGGCCTGGGTACTGTCCATGAGCTTTTGTGCTCAAGGCTAGCTCTCTATCAATTGAACCACAGCTCCACATCTGGCTTTGGGGTGTTTAATTGGAGATAAGTCTCATGAACTTACTTGCCTGGGCTGGTTAAAATTAAGATCTTCAGATTTTAGCCTCCTAAGTAACTAAGATTACAGGTCTGAGCCATGAGCACCTGGCTATATGGAAAAATTTTAAATATATACAGAAAATATTAAAGAATAGAGAGAAAAATAAGAAGGAAAATCAAGTTAGTGGTATTGATACCATTTTTATACACAGAGAGATAGACATACACACATATATACACACATACACACACAGTAGGCAACAGGCATACCAGAACTGCTTCTGAATTTACTCTGTGTGTAAAATTTTATATCTTGGTTTTTATTGTTCCTATGGTTGTGTAGTTCATGATCATCTAGGGAATCAAATGATCATTCACCTGTAATTTCTACATCTTTAAAGTTTTTTCTCTTTATATCTGCTTTTTAATTCACCTGAAATACATTTTTTTTTTTGGGTCCAGTCATGGGGCCTGGGCACTGTCCCTCAGCTCTTCAGCTCAAGGCTAGTGCTCTACCACTTGAGCCACAGCACCACTTCCGGCTTTTTTCTTCTTTTTGCTTATGTGGTGCTGAGGAATCGAACTCAGGGCTTGCAAGGCAAGCGTTCTACCACTGAGCCCTTCCCAGCTTCTGAAATACATTTTATTGTTCAATGAAATCTCTAAATTTGCAACAGTATTTCTTACAATAGAAACAATTGATTGTAGATGATTATTTTATTATATAGAAAGATGTAATGGGTACTAATTCAAGGCTAGTTCTTTTGTTCCTTAGCTTTACCTAGTTACACATTATTCTAAATATGATAGCTCTGTGGTACATCACAATCAAGTTCTTCTCCATCACTTAGAGTTTTCCTACACTTTCTCACTTATTGTTAATTTCAAATAATTTAAAATCATAGTTTTTACTGTCATCATTATAATAAATAGAAATAATTTATGTTCATTTTTAAAAATAAAAATGCACCTAAGGATTTTTCTTACTACTGAGTTAAAATTATAAGTACATTGAGAAAGAGAATATTAGAACACTCATCTATTGAGTCGACTCACTAGGAGTGCTGTCTCTCTCACTTCCTATGCTAAATAATTATTTTTTGTGTTTTTGTAAAGTTTGTCATTTCTTTCATGAAAGTTGAGCACATTTATTAAATTTAGTTCTGGGCAGAGTCAATTCGTGTGTGTGTGTGTGTGTGTGTGTGTGTGTGTGTGTATGTGTGCTGATCCTAATACATGAATTCAGGATCTGGGTGCTGTCCCTGAGCTTTGGTACTCAAGGCTAGTGCTATACCAGTTAAGCCAAAGCTCCACTTTGGCTTTTTAGTAGTTAATTGGAGATAAGAGTCCCAGGGGCTTTCCTACCCAAGCTGACTTTGAACTGTGATCCTCAGATCTCAGCTTCCTGAGTAGCTAGGTGTGAGCCACTGACACTTGACTTGGGCAGTTTGTTTTTGTGACATTATTGTGAACAGAATCTTTTCCCCCTGTGTTATCTTCTCCTCGGTTATTGATGATAAAGAAAAAATCTTTTTGGCGGTATAATTTACTTTTATCTGGCTTCTTTCCTGAATTCAATTATTTTAAGAAATTTTAAATTCTTTGGGTGTTCAAAGACCATAATTACATCTTTACTAATGATTATAATTTTGTATCTTCTTTTTCTGTAATTATTCTTCTTACTTCTGCGCTAATCCCCACTGGTTTTGCCAGCACAATATTAAATATAATGCTGCTTATATGCATATTTGTCTAATACATTTTATCCATCTCAATCACACACATGGTCTTTTCTAATGTTTCTTGCCTTGAGTTTGTCTTTGTTCAAAATGAATGTAGTCACTATGTTTTTTTCTGGTAGATGATAAATTTGGATTATCTTTTTACTTTTAATCTTTCTAGATGATTTTCAGTCTCTTTTGTGGGCATACATATGTAACTAGATATTTTCACTAAATTTCAGAGTACTTTTCTCAAATACGGAAGTGTGAGTACATTTACAGCAATGGACATATGTGGATTTGTCTATCTTCTTGTTCTTACTAATTAAAAAATTACCCTCCTAACATTACAAGGTCCTGAGCCTTGTTAATTGGCACCATAAAAAGTGTCTTGCAAAATAGATTATGTTTTTGTTGTCTTTTTCTTTACTATTTCTTTACTTTATTTCACTTTATGTAATAAATAATAAAAAGTTTAAAAGTTTAAAACAAAATAAATAATAAAAATTCCTATTTATTTATTTACTTGTTATTTTTATAGTAAAAAAAAGTCAGGTACCCATGGCACACACCTGTAATCCTAGGTACTCAGGAGGCTGAAATCTGAGGATCATAGTTCATTCAAAGCCAACCCAGGCAGAAAAGTTTGTGAGACTCTTATCTCCATTAACCTACCAAAAACACTGGAAGTGGAAATGTAGCTCAGATAGTAGGTTCTAGTCCTGAGCAAAAGTATCTTAGCCTATACCCTGAGTTCAAGCCCAACCAGCAAAAAAAAAAAAAAGAAAAAAAAGTAAAAAATAAAAGGATCTCTTGGTTTCTTTCTGTATATATGATATGTATGTGTGTATATAAGCATATCTATGTTATATATGCACATGCAAATAGTTATATATGTACATATACACATACATGTATATATTTATATATGGATATATGTAGATTGATCCAACTGATCTGGGGAAACTGCTCACCTTCAGGGTTTTGTTCATTGCCATTTGCAATTTTAGTGCTGGCATATGGTTGTTATAGATGATTGTTTCAGGCATATGGTTGTTATATATTATTATTCTTATATCATGAAGTAAATGCTTTTGACATTTGTATTCATTTTGTGGACACATTTAAGTAATGTGTTAATTTAGATTTAACTGTAGACTCAAATCAGTATAGTGTTTAGCAACAGCCCTTTAAATCATGATTTTAAAACCATTTATGTTTTGAAATTATGCATTTTCATTTTTTTCAAGTGTGAAGAATAGATACTGTAGTTTCTGGGATCTCTCAGTGTCTTGTTTATTTGTCTTTGTCACCACGTAGTGGGGGGGGTCACCTCTCTGATTTTCTATTTGGTGTTTCTCTTCTTTCAGGCCTTGTTGGCTAATGCTTTGGGGGGGAGGGCTGGAGAGGTCCTCTCTGCTCAGGCATTGATGGATATAATTGTATGCTCTCTGAGTCTGGCAGATGTTTTGAGCCCCTTGGTTGTCTCATGGCAGTTTTGTGTTTTCTCTGGAGACCTCCCTTGTAGGACTGTCTGTCTTGGGAGGACACGTCTAGCCTGAGCAGTCACTTGTAAGCTCTCCTGTGCTCTTTAGCAGATGTTTTCTATTTCTAGCTTTATGCTATGGAGCTTGTGGCCTCTGAAGGAGACTCCCTTCTTGGGAGGATGAAGTGTGAGCATCAAGGAAGTGGCGTAGCCTGACCCAGCATTTCTCTCCCCCACCTCCCCCCCCCCCCCC